GGGTCTGAAGACCTTACATAGTAAGAACATGGTTCATGGGTTGCCAAAGTTTGATGTTGCAAAGAAGGAATGTACAAATTATCTCATTGGAAAGCAGCATAGAAATTCCTTTCCAAAGAAGAGCACATGCAGGGCAAAATTGAAGTTGGAGCTAGTTCATGCAGATCTCTACGGACCGATCGCACCAGAATCAAACAGTAGTAAAAGGTACATACTACTTCATTGACGACTTTAGTCGAAGAGCATGGACTTTTTATTTAACAAACAAAGCAGATACATTTAGCTCCTTTGTAGCTTTCAAAAGAAATGTTGAAAAAGAAACAGGTCTATCAATCAAGTTCTTTCGGACTGACAGAGGTGGAGAGTTCTATCCAAATGAGTTCAATGAATTTTGCAAGGAAAATGGATCAAGAGGCAGTTGACAGCAGCATACTCACCACAACAGAATGGAGTTGCGGAGAGGAAGAATAGAACAATTCTAAACATGGTGAGATCAATGCTTTCCGAAAAGAAGATGCTGAAGACCTTTTGGCCATAAGCAGTCAATTGGACGACGTTTGTGTTAAACAGATGTCCTACAAGTGCAGTGAAAGACATGACACCTCAGGAGGCTTGGAGCGGAGAGAAACATTTTGTGGAATTCTTTAGAGTCTTCGGGTGTATTGCTTTCATCCATGTTCCAGAGGCAAGAAGAACCAAATTGGAGGATAGAAGTGTACTCTGCGTCCTACTTAGAGTGAGTGAAGAGTCAAAGGTCTACAGATTCCACAATCCTATCACCAAAAAGATAGCGATTAGCAAAGATGCAGTGTTGGAAGAAAAAAGAGAGTGGGACTGGGATACAAGCTATGAGCAGCAAGTGTCAATGGAGCGGGAGTGGGGAGAAGATCAAGGTGTCCCGACGAGATAGAAGATGAAGCATCTGACGGTGATGATGAGTTCGAAGATCAAGAAGTTGGAAATTCAGGAGGAGGTACTTTGAACTCAAGTGAGGAAGAAAAAAATGTAGATAATTCGTCTATGGGTTATGAGACACCAGAAGCAAGGGATGCAAGAGAAATAGGACCACCAGCTTGGATGAGTGATTATACACCAGGTTCTGGACTTTCTGGTTCGGGAATTTCAGACTTGGAGTCGCAAGCTAATATGGCACTTGTGATGAATGATGATCCCGCAAACTTCGAGGATGCAGTAGGAAGTGAGAAGTGGAGAAAGGCCATGGATGTAGAAATTGAGTCCATTGAGAAGAACAACACATGGAAACTGGTTAAGCTGCCTGCACGAGCTAAAAGGATAGGAATAAAATGGATTTTCAAAACTAAATACAATGAGGCAGGGGATATTGACAAGTAGAAGGCTCGGTTGATAGCAAAAGGCTGCTCGCAGAGGCAAGGAGTGGATTTTACAGAAGTTAGAGCTCTGATGGCTCGAATGGATACAATTAGAGTGATGCTTGCTCTTGTTGCACAGAGAGGCTGGATTGTGTATCAACTCGACGTCAAATCAGCATCCTTGCATAGTGAATTAATTGAAGATGTGTATGTCGAGCAACCTTTGGGGTATGAGAAGAAAGGAGAAGAGGATAAAATTTACAAGCTACAGAAAGCGCTATATGGATTAAAGCAAGCACCTCGTGCTTGGTTTAGTCGAATTGATGCCCACTTCAACAAAGAAGGATTTCAGAAATGTAGCAGTGAGTAGACCATTTTCTCTAAAATTGGCAGTGGAGGAAAAATCTTGCGAGTAAGTGTTTATATTGATGATCTTATCAATACTAGCAATGATGATGTGATGTTGGGAGAATTCAAAACCTCTATGATGGAGTTCAATATGAGTGTCCAGGAACAGAGAAAGAAGCAAACTATGCCAACATAGATTGGGGTGAGACTTTGCTGCTTTTGTCTCATGTTGAAGTCACCGAAAACTTTGCAAGAGGCTCAACGGTGGAACTCAGGTATGAAGAAGAGTTGGCATTGATGGCACAAGTAGAGGCAAATGGAGTAAACAGAACAGAAGCTTGGTTCGTAGACTCAGGTTGTTCTAACCATATGTGTGGGGATAAGAAGATGTTTTCAGACTTTGACGGCGAGTTTAGACACTTGGTGAAGCTCGGGAACAACACCAAGATGAATGTAGAACGAAAACGCAGCGTGTAATTAAGTATCAATGGAGTGAAGCTTGTAGTCACAAAAGTTTATTATGTACCAGAGCTCAAGAACAACCTATTGAGTGTGGGTCAATGGCAAGAGAAGGGTCTAGCTATTCTGATGCATGAAGGGAAGTGCAGAATTTACCATCCAAGGAGAGGATTGATCATTGGATGTTTGTTATTATGGCCGGAGCAGTTGCAACTCCCACCAGCTGCTTTCTCACCTCAACACTTGACCTGCCACAACTCTGGCATTGCAGGTACGGTCACTTGAGCTACAAGGGTCTGAAGACCTTACATAGTAAGAACATGGTTCATGGGTTGCCAAAGTTGATGTTGCGAAGGAATGTACAGATTGTCTCATTGGAAAGCAGCATAGAAATTCCTTTCCAAAGAAGAGCACATGCAGGGCAAAATTGAAGTTGGAGCTAGTTCATGCAGATCTCTGCGGACCGATCGCACCAGAATCAAACAGTAGTAAAAGGTACATACTACTTCATTGACGACTTTAGTCGAAGAGCATGGACTTTTTATTTAACAAACAAAGCAGATACATTTAGCTCCTTTGTAGCTTTCAAAAGAAATGTTGAAAAAGAAACAAGTCTATCAATCAAGTGCTTTCGGACTGACAGAGGTGGAGAGTTCAATTCAAATGAGTTCAATGAATTTTGCAAGGAAAATGGATCAAGAGGCAGTTGACAACAGCATATTCACCACAACAGAATGGAGTTGCGGAGATGAAGAATAGAACAATTCTAAACATGGTGAGATCGATGCTTTCAGAAATGAAGATGCCGAAGACCTTTTGGACAGAAGCAATCAATTGGACGACGTTTGTGTTAAACAGATGTCCTACAAGTGCAGTGAAAGACATGACACCTCAGGAGGCTTGGAGCGGAGAGAAACATTTTGTGGAATTCTTTAGAGTCTTCGGGTGTATTGCTTTCGTCCATGTTCCAGAGGCTAGAAGAACCAAATTGGAGGATAGAAGTGTACTCTGCGTCCTACTTAGAGTGAGTGAAGAGTCAAAGGTCTACAGATTCCACAATCCTATCACCAAAAAGATAGCGATTAGCAGAGATGCAGTGTTCGAAGAAAAAAGAGAGTGGGACTGGGATACAAGCTATGGGCAGCAAGTGTCAATGGAGCTGGAGTGGGGAGAATATCAAGGTGTCCCGACGAGATAGAAGATGAAGCATCTAACGATGATGATGAGTGCGAAGATCAAGAAGTTGGAAATTCAGGAGGAGGTACTTTGAACTCAAGTGAGGAAGAAGAAAATGTAGATAATTCGTCTATGGGTTATGAGACACCAGAAGCAAGGGAGGCAAGAGAAAGAGGACCACCAGCTTGGATGAGTGATTATACACCAGGTTCTGGACTTTCTGGTTCGGGAATTTCAGACTTGGAGTCGCAAGCTAATATGGCACTTGTGATGAATGATGATCCCGCAAACTTCGAGGATGCAGTAGGAAGTGAGAAGTGGAGAAAGGCCATGGATGTAGAAATTGAGTCCATTGAGAAGAACAACACATAGAAACTGGTTAAGCTGCCTGCACGAGCTAAAAGGATAGGAGTAAAATGGATTTTCAAAACTAAATACAATGAGGCAAGGGATACTGACAAGTACAAGGCTCGGTTGGTAGCAAAAGGCTGCTTGCAGAGGCAATGAGTGGATTTTACAGAAGTTTATGCTGCGATGGCTCGAATGGATGCAAATAGGATGTTTGTTATTATGGCCGGAGCAGTTGCAACTCCCACCAGCTGCTTTCTCACCTCAACACTTGACCTGCCACAACTCTGGCATTGCACGTATGGTCACTTGAGCTACAAGGGTCTGAAGACCTTACATAGTAAGAACATGGTTCATGGGTTGCCAAAGTTGATGTTGCGAAGAAGGAATGTACAGATTGTCTCATTGGAAAGCAGCATAGAAATTCCTTTCCAAAGAAGAGCACATGCAGGGCAAAATTGAAGTTGGAGCTAGTTCATGCAGATCTCTGCGGACCGATCGCACCAGAATCAAACAGTAGTAAAAGGTACATACTACTTCATTGACGACTTTAGTCGAAGAGCATGGACTTTTTATTTAACAAACAAAGCAGATACATTTAGCTCCTTTGTAGCTTTCAAAAGAAATGTTGAAAAAGAAACAGGTCTATCAATCAAGTTCTTTCGGACTGACAGAGGTGGAGAGTTCTATCCAAATGAGTTCAATGAATTTTGCAAGGAAAATGGATCAAGAGGCAGTTGACAGCAGCATACTCACCACAACAGAATGGAGTTGCGGAAAGGAAGAATAGAACAATTCTAAACATGGTGAGATCGATGCTTTCAGAAATGAAGATGCCGAAGACCTTTTGGTCAGAAGCAGTCAATTGGACGACGTTTGTGTTAAACAGATGTCCTACAAGTGTAGTGAAAGACATGACACCTCAGGAGGCTTGGAGCGGAGAGAAACATTTTATGGAATTCTTTAGAGTCTTCGGGTGTATTGCTTTCATCCATGTTCCAGAGGCAAGAAGAACCAAATTGGAGGATAGAAGTGTACTCTGCGTCCTACTTAGAGTGAGTGAAGAGTCAAAGGTCTACAGATTCCACAATCCTATCACCAAAAAGATAGCGATTAGCAGAGATGCAGTGTTGGAAGAAAAAAGAGAGTGGGACTGGGATACAAGCTATGAGCAGCAAGTGTCAGTGAGCAGGAGTGGGGAGAAGATCAAGGTGTCCCGACGAGATAGAAGATGAAGCATCTGATGGTGATGATGAGTTCGAAGATCAAGAAGTTGGAAATTCAGGAGGAGGTACTTTGAACTCAAGTGAGGAAGAAAAAAATGTAGATAATTCGTCTATGGGTTATGAGACACCAGAAGCAAGGGATGCAAGAGAAAGAGGACCACCAGCTTGGATGAGTGATTATACACCAGGTTCTGGACTTTCTGGTTCGGGAATTTCAGACTTGGAGTCGCAAGCTAATATGGCACTTGTGATGTCTGATGATCCCGCAAACTTCGAGGATGCAGTAGGAAGTGAGAAGTGGAGAAAGGCCATGGATGTAGAAATTGAGTCCATTGAGAAGAACAACACATGGAAACTGGTTAAGCTGCCTGCACGAGCTAAAAGGATAGGAGTAAAATGGATTTTCAAAACTAAATACAATGAGGCAGGGGATATTGACAAGTACAAGGCTCGGTTGGTAGCAAAAGGCTGCTCGCAGAGGCAAGGAGTGGATTTTACAGAAGTTTGAGCTCTGATGGCTCGAATGGATACAATTAGAGTGATGCTTGCTCTTGTTGCACAGAGAGGCTGGATTGTGTATCAACTCGACGTCAAATCAGCATCCTTGCATAATGAATTAATTGAAGATGTGTATGTCGAGCAACCTTTGGGGTATGAGAAGAAAGGAGAAGAGGATAAAATTTACAAGCTACAGAAAGCGCTATATGGATTAAAGCAAGCACCTCGTGCTTGGTTTAGTCGAATTGATGCCCACTTCAACAAAGAAGGATTTCAGAAATGTAGCAGTGAGTAGACCATTTTCTCTAAAATTGGCAGTGGAGGAAAAATCTTGCGAGTAAGTGTTTATATTGATGATCTTATCAATACTAGCAATGATGATGTGATGTTGGGAGAATTCAAAACATCTATGATGGAGTTCAATATGAGTTTCTAGGAACAGAGATGGAGGTGAGACTTTGCTGCTTACGTCTCATGTTGAAATCACCGAAAACTTTGCATGAGGCTCAGCGGTGGAACTCAGGTATGAAGAAGAGTTGGCATTGACGGCACAAGCAGAGGCAAATGGAGTAAGCAGAACAGAAGCTTGGTTCGTAGACTCAGGTTGTTCTAACCATATGTGTGGTGATAAGAAGATGTTTTCAGACTTTGACGGCGAGTTTAGACACTTGGTGAAGCTCGGGAACAACACCAAGATGAATGTAGAACGAAAACGCAGCGTGTAATTAAGTATTAATGGAGTGAAGCTTGTAGTCACAAAAGTTTATTATGTACCAGAGCACAAGAACAACCTATTGAGTGTGGGTCAATGGCAAGAGAAGGGTCTAGCTATTCTGATGCATGAAGGGAAGTGCAGAATTTACCATCCAATGAGAGGATTGATCATTGAAACAACGATGACTGCAAATAGGATGTTTGTTATTATGGCCGGAGCAGTTGCAACTCCCACCAGCTGCTTTCTCACCTCAACACTTGACCTGCCACAACTCTGGCATTGCAGGTACGGTCACTTGAGCTACAAGGGTCTGAAGACCTTACATAGTAAGAACATGGTTCATGGGTTGCCAAAGTTGATGTTGTGAAGAAGGAATGTACAGATTGTCTCATTAGAAAGCAGCATAGAAATTCCTTTCCAAAGAAGAGCACATGGAGGGCAAAACAGAAGTTGGAGCTAGTTCATGCAGATCTCTGCCGATCGATCGCACCAGAATCAAATAGTAGTAAAAGGTACATACTATACTTCATTGATGACTTTAGTCGAAGAGCATGGACTTTTTATTTAACAAACAAAGCAGATACATTTAGCTCCTTTGTAGCTTTAAAAAGAAATGTTGAAAAAGAAACATTTCTATCAATCAAGTACTTTCGGACTGACAGAGGTGGAGAGTTCAAACCAAATGAGTTTAATGAATTTTGCAAGGAAAATGGATCAAGAGGCAGTTGACAGCAGCATATTCACCACAACAGAATGGATTTGCGGAGAGGAAGAATAGAACAATTCTAAACATGGTGAGATCAATGCTTTCAGAAAAGAAGATGCCGAAGACCTTTTGGTCAGAAGCAGTCAATTGGACGACGTTTGTGTTAAACAGATGTCCTACAAGTGCAGTGAAAGACATGACACCTCAGGAGGCTTGGAGCGGAAAGAAACATTTTGTGGAATTCTTTAGTCTTCGGGTGTATTACTTTCATCCATGTTCCAGAGGCAAGAAGAACCAAATTGGAGGATAGAAGTGTACTCTGCGTCCTACTTAGAGTGAGTGAAGAGTCAAAGGTCTACAGATTCTACAATCCTATCACCAAAAAGATAGCGATTAACAGAGATGAAGTGTTCGAAGAAAAAAGAGAGTGGGACTGGGATACAAGCTATGAGCAGTAAGTGTCAATGGAGCTGGAGTGGGGAGAAGATCAAGGTGTACCGACGAGATAGAAGATGAAGCATCTGACGGTGATGATGAGTTCGAAGATCAAGAAGTTGGAAATTCAGGAGGAGGTACTTTGAACTCAAGTGAGGAAGAAGAAAATGTAGATAATTCGTCTATGGGTTATGAGATACCAGAAGCAAGGGAGGCAAGAGAAAGAGGACCACCAGCTTAGATGAATGATTATACACCAGGTTCTGGACTTTCTGGTTCGGGAATTTCAGATTTGGAGTTGCAAGCTAATATGGCACTTTTGATGTCTGATGATCCCGCAAACTTCGAGGATGTAGTAGGAAGTGAGAAGTGGAGAAAGGCCATAGATGCAGAAATCGAGTCCATTGAGAAGAACAACACATGAAAACTGGTTAAGCTGTCTGCACGAGCTAAAAGGATAGGAGAAAAATGGATTTTCAAAACTAAATACAATGAGGCAGGGGATATTGACAAGTACAAGGCTCGGTTTGTAGCAAAAGGCTACTCGCAGAGGCAAGGAGTGGTTTTTACAGAAGTTTATGCTCCGATAGCTCGAATGGATACAATTAGAGAGATGCTTGCTCTTGTTGCACAGAGAGGCTGGATTGTGTATCAACTCGACGTCAAATCAACATTCTTGCATGGTGAATTAATTGAAGATGTCTATGTCGAGCAACCTTTGGGGTATGAGAAGAAAGGAGAAGAGGATAAAATTTACAAGCTACAGAAAGCGCTATATGGATTAAAGCAAGCACCTCGTGCTTGGTTTAGTCGAATTGATGCCCACTTCAACAAAGAAGGATTTTAGAAATGTAGCAGTGAGTACACCATTTTCTCTAAAATTGGCAGTGGAGGAAAAATCTTGTGAGTAAGTGTTTATATTGATGATCTTATCAATACTAGCAATGATGATGTGATGTTGGGAGAATTCAAAACCTCTATGATGGACTTCAATATGAGTGTCCAGGAACAGAGAAAGAAGCAAACTATGGCAACATAGATTGAAGTGAGACTTTGCTGCTTATGTCTCATGTTGAAGTCACCGAAAACTTTGCAAGAGGCTCAACGGTGGAACTCAGGTATGAAGAAGAGTTGGCATTGATCATTGAAACAACGATGACTGCAAATAGGATGCTTGTTATTATGGCCGGAGCAGTTGCAACTCCCACCAGCTGCTTTCTCACCTCAACACTTGACCTGCCACAACTCTGGCATTGCAGGTACGGTCATTTGGCCAGAAGCAGTCAATTGGACGACGTTTGTGTTAAACAGATGTCCTACAAGTGTAGTGAAAGACATGACACCTCAGGAGGCTTGGAGCGGAGAAACATTTTTTGGAATTCTTTAGAGTCTTCGGGTGTATTGCTTTCATCCATGTTCCAAAGGCAAGAAGAGCCAAATTGGAGGATAGAAGTGCACTCTGCGTCCTATTTAGAGTGAGTGAAGAGTCAAAGGCCTACAGATTCTACAATCCTATCACCAAAAAGATAGCGATTAGCAGAGATATAGTGTTCGAAGAAAAAAGAGAGTGGGACTGTGATACAAGCTAAGAGTAGCAAGTGTTAATGGAGTTGGAGTGGGGAGAAGATTAAGGTGTCGCCGACGAGATAGAAGATAAAGCATCTGACGTTGATGATGAGTTCGAAGATCAAGAAGCTAAAAATTCAGGAGGAGGTACTTTGAACAAGTGAGGAAGAAGAAAATGTAGATAATTCGTCTATGGGTTATGAGACACCAAAAGCAAGGGAGGCAAGAGAAAGAGGACCACCAGCTTGGATGAGTGATTATACACTAGGTTCTGGACTTTCTGGTTTGGAAATTTCAGACTTGGAGTTGCAAGCTAATATGGCACTTGTGATGTCTGATGATCCCGCAAACTTTGAGGATGTAGTAGGAAGTGAGAAGTGGAGAAAGGCCACGGATGCAGAAATTGAGTCCATTGAGAAGAACAACACATGGAAACTGGTTAAGCTGCCTGCACGAGCTAAAAGGATAGGAGTAAAATGGATTTTCAAAACTAAATACAATGAGGCAGGGGATATTGACAAGTACAAGGCCTCATTGGAAAGCAGCATAGAAATTCCTTTCCAAAGAAGAGCACATGCAGGGCAAAATTGAAGTTGGAGCTAGTTCATGCAGATCTCTGCCGACCGATCGCACCAGAATCAAACAGTATTAAAAGGTACATACTATACTTCATTGATGACTTTAGTCGAAGAGCATGGACTTTTTATTTAACAAACAAAGCAGATACATTTAGCTCCTTTGTAGCTTTCAAAAGAAATGTTGAAAAAGAAACAGGTCTATCAATCAAGTACTTTCGGACTGACAGAGGTGGAGAGTTCAATCCAAATGAGTTCAATGAATTTTGCAAGGAAAATGGATCAAGAGGCAGTTGACAGCAACATATTCACCATAACAGAATGGAGTTGCGGGGAGGAAGAATAGAACAATTCTAAACATGGTGAGATCAATGCTTTCAGAAAAGAAGATGCCGAAGACCTTTTGGCCAGAAGCAGTCAATTGGACGACGTTTGTGTTAAACAGATGTCCTACAAGTGTAGTGAAAGACATGACACCTCAGGAGGCTTGGAGCGGAGAAACATTTTGTGGAATTCTTTAGAGTCTTCGGGTGTATTGCTTTCATCCATGTTCCAAAGGCAAGAAGAGCCAAATTGGAGGATAGAAGTGTACTCTGCGTCATACTTAGAGTGAGTGAAGAGTCAAAGGCCTACAGATTCTAATATCCTATCACCAAAAAGATAGTGATTAGCAGAGATATAGTGTTCGAAGAAAAAAGAGAGTGGGACTGCGATACAAGCTATGAGCAGCAAGTGTCAATGGAGTTGTAGTGGGGAGAAGATCAAGGTGTCGCCGACGAGATAGAAGACAAAGCATCTGACGGTGATAATGAGTTCGAAGATCAAGAAGCTGGAAATTCAGGAGGTACTTTGAACTCAAGTGAGGAAGAAGAAAATGTAGATAATTCGTCTATGGGTTATGAGACACCAGAAGCAAGGGAGGCAAGAGAAAGAGGACACCCAGCTTGGATGAGTGATATACACCAGGTTCTGGACTTTCCGGTTCGGGAATTTCAGACTTGGAGTCGCAAGCT